GCATGTTAATGTGACTTTCCAAGGTAAGTCTTCTGTCTAGGTAGACACCCAGGTACCGCACAGTTTGAGCTAACTCAATACGCACTCCTGAAAGAGTAATTGATGTCGTGTTATTTGCAGATTTTTGCTTCTGAGCGGTCGCGATGGGGAGCACCTCAGTCTTATCATCGTTCAATTTGAGCTTGTTTATGGTCATCCAAAGTTTAACTGATTCAACTGTCTTCTGTGTCATAGTGAGCAGCTGAGGGAACTTAGAGGGGATCACGGATTGATGAATTTGAGTGTCGTCTGCGAACATGTGGTATTGCATGTCAAACTGATGAATCTCTGCGCCCAGGGGCTGAATGTACATCGTGAAGAGCACCGGGCCTAAGACCGAGCCCTGGGGTACTCCGAATTCGATATTGGATTTCTTCGAAGTCAGGCCGTTTGAAATAACTGACTGGACCCGATTCGTCAGATATGATCGGAACCAACACAGGACGGTATCAGTGAGACCGAACGTTTTTTGCAGACGCTGGAGCAGTATGCCGTTATCAAGCGTATCGAAAGCTGCCGATAGATCGAGTAAAGACAAAATCGATACCTGGCCCTCATCACAAGACGACAGAAGGTCGTTTACGACGCGCAACAGGGCTGTCTCAGTAGAGTGATGCGCCCTGTATGCTGACTGGAATGGTTCAAACAAGTCAAACTGAGTGAGGTGATCCAGGAGTTGGCGGAGAACGACTTTTTCTAAGATTTTAGAAATAAATGGTAGATTTGAGATGGGGCGATAATTTTCCATCACATTTGGGTCAAGATTTGATTTCTTTAATAGTGGAGTGACGATCGCCTCTTTAAAAGATGATGGAACAATACCAGTAGCTAAGGACTGATTTATGATACAAGTGGCGATGGGGACAATTTCATCCAGACATTCATACAGGAGCCCTGCTGGAAGAGGGTCAAGCGAACATGACTTTCTTGGGGTATCAGCAAGGATTTTCCTCACATTCGAGTCACTGACCTCAACAAATTCACCCATAGAAGAGCCATTGAAGGGTGAGAATTCTGGAGCAGTATCGGTGCAACTGTCAAGTTTCGCTCTGATCCTCTTAACTTTTGTAATGAAGTAGTCATTTAGAGCGTCTGGCAGCTCTTCTACAGCAAAATTATTTGGCAGAGATGTAGACATGTGTTACAACGGCTACGGTTGCAAATTTTGATGCCTTATTGTACTTTAATAGTAGGGACTTGCATTTCCCTAAGGCTCTTGTCGCTCCGGAAAGCGAAAAGAGAAGGTTTTCTAAAAACCACATTGGTGACAGGGTCTGTTATAAAATAGGAGCGGTTTTTCAGAACCAAAAAACGAGCTTTAAGGTTATGGGGATTAAAAGTTAAGATAAATTTAGACATATCCCAGAATGAAAATGTGAATCTGGGAAGTTTAACTCCAAATGAAGGAAACTTTAACCACTAAGAGGTGTTCATCTGATCAGGCTGCTCTGCAGACCACAAAGTCAATAAAATTAAACTCAATTTTAAACAGCACAATTCTTGTCTTAACAAACAGTTTTGAATTAATTCTTCTAAATCTTAGCATTAGTTGTTAGTTTTTTCTTTAAAAAAAAATTTGTATTTAGTTTTCAAACTGGTTAAAGATTTAGTTTAAATTCATTTACTTTTAAATAATAGTTAAAATTGATAATTTTTTTATTTTCATAATTTTTTTTAATAAAGAATTAATAATTAAAAAATATAAAAATCTTATCAAATGCTTTTCTCAAATGCATGTTTTGTCTCTCTCCTGAGGCAGAGCTACAGTTGCGGGTCCGCAAGTGTGTTTGCCTCTTTGTGGCACGGCAGACTCGTTAGGTGTACTCAACTACATAAAGCTAAAAATACCCGGCTAAATGCCAAATGTTATACCGAAAGACTCCTTTGGGAAGTGGACTATATGACGCAAACTAGTCCCTAAAGGGTTGCAAACTTTCCAGGAACACAGCACTTAAGGCAAGTACGATTAGTGGAGCTGGCAACTCGGTCACTGACTTCTTCCTTGGTGTCTGGCGGTGGGCTAGCGTGGGACGAGACTACCGCCCCTGGGTTGGAAATGCAAAATCCTCTTTCGTTATTGTCGGGGGACAGGTTGTTAGAAGATAGATCTACGGAACATGGCATGCCTTGCGCCAAGGTTCATCCGCCCCCCCCCAAATTATTTAAATGAACGTCTATTTGCTCAGACACAAGGGAGGAGAGATCACATATCTAACCCATGAGTGCGGGACGTGAACGTAGTGCTCTTCCAGGACATACTTCTTTTAAAAGGTAAGTTGTACCAAATAACTGGCTACTCCCTGCATCACTGCAAGTGTGAGCAATCCAGGAAGCTGGCCACAGCGTTTAAAAGCGACCTACCGATGAAACTGCTGAGGCAAAGTGGTGCGAAGAAACTGACAAACTCACAATCAATTTCTTTAAAAAACAAAAAGGTTTTGTTAATAACTAATGTTAATAAGAAGCCCAGCAACACTGTCAGACTTCCCATAGGGCACGCGTTCACAACATATGGTCCATGGTCCACTGGTGGCTCTCGAAGTAACAAAATATTCTTTATTAATTTAATTTTCTTAATAGCTTTCCACCCTGTCCCATTATTATTTCGACCCACACAAGATTTTCATAACGTATTACAGCCCGAACAAGTTTTTCAAAAAGAATTACCTCTCGCCTTACATTTTGAGTTGTGCAGACCTGCCATAGGGATAGCTTCATTTTTCAGAGGATAATCATAACAGGGTATTTTCTCGCTCAATCTCGAGACTAGGGCTATGTTGGCAGAGAACATTTGGACGTTGCGTGGAGTATCTGTGTCTCACTACCAACCTCATCCGGTTACAAGACAAAAATAGTGTGCCCACACTTTTACACACGGGCCACAGTACGCAGTACCGGCCAGACATTACGGTTATTCAGCGCATCGTGTGTCAAAGTTCAGTCTGGTTGTCTTGGATGAGGTTGAATTTGATCGTAAAACAATCTTCTTCCGAATTTTGTTAACTACCACAAACGCACATTTTCAGAAAAGGCACTTGCAGTTTCGGAAGGCAAATCATTTGTCTGAGTATGAAACAGAGGCCGGAGCTAAGCTGGCAGAAGTCCATGCAATAGGGCAAGAATACCTAAATGTGGAGTACGAACATTTTATAGGCAAGATTCTAGGCGTGGGAAGACGAGTGATTATGAGAACAAATCGAGGCCAAACCTTCAGAGCATACTGGAATTAAACTCTGAAGGCACTGTTTGAGAAACGAGCAAAGTCACGATGGAAGGCCACCAAGAAGAAAACACTTGCAGCTCGAGCATCGTACAACTCCTTGACGGCCCAGGTGTATGCCAAAGTCTTTAAAGAGAAACACTAGGCTGGTCACCATTGGAGAAACGACGACGACAATCCAGGCTCTCCATGATGTACAAGATAAATAATGGGCTGGTCCACTGTTCCAGTATTAAACAGAAACTCGTCCCTCTCCCCCATAGACAGCGAGGAGGCCACGACAGGCAATTCAGGCTCCTACCAGCAAGAAGCCAGTATAGGAGCTGCTCATTCCTGCCCAAGACAATCAGGGACTGGAACAATCTTTTTAAAGGAACGGTTGAGGCGACAACACTAGACACATTTGTGTCTATTGCCTCCAGCCTTAAAACACCTAGTGCATGATTTCCTTATCAACACCATTAACAGAAACATTGCAAATCCCATCTACATGCATAGGAGCCAAAATGATCAATAAATTGATCGTGGGCCCTTAAGATAGAGAAGAAGAAGTCCAAGTGGGTAAACACGTGTGAAACCCCTCAACCTTGTTTACAGCCATAATGTCTCGCTGTTACTAGATAACCTCTCTAGAATTAGGAAGTAATGAAATATGTGTTACCTCAAAACACCGGCTACCATAAAATAAACATTTTGCTACAGTCAGAAAAGAAGCCGGGCCATGAATAAACTTCTTAAGGTTTTTCAGGACACCTGAAATACACCGGCCCACGGCCCTCATTAAGTGAAAAACAGGGAAAAGACCAGGCCCCTATAGGGTCTGTAATGAATTGCTCAAGCATGTGGGCAAATTACACTTCTAAGCCTTATCAATAAAACCTTGACAACAGGTTTCTTGCGAAAGGTGTGTATCTATGGTTGTATTTATGTCATTTATAAATATTTTTTTTGCTGGCATTCGTCCGTCTTAATGTGACGATGGAGTGGGCATCGGAGAACGAAATCCATATGGCCTGGGATTATTCTTAAAGGAATATAAGCTGTTTCCCAACAGCAAATCGCCTCTCCCCACGCGCTGGATAACCCAAGGGAACATCAAGGGACGATGCAGCTTGGCACCAGTGGCGTCGCAGGAGTTGTCAGGATGTTTCATTGCATCAACGTTATCCGCCTTTCGAATTGAACTCAAGTTCACCAACTTGAGATTTGCTCAGTTTAGACCACTCGGCCATCCCGGCACCCCTTGTCATTTATAATGCCATATATATTTAAGTTCACGTTTACTAAGGCAATGTATTTTGTTTTTGACGTAGAACATACTTCCTGTTCAGTGTTACATTGATGTATTTAATATTACTAAACCCTGTGCTGCACTCGTGAGAAAATGATGATTAATGAATAAAACACGTCTCCTCTTATTTTAACATTTTTTTAAATCCATCAAAACAATCACCCATTAAAATAATGTTAAGAAATCAAAAGGCAATTTTTTTGTTTTGATTTAAGCACCGACCAATGAAGGTTTATTCTGTTTGGCTGTTACTTTCTATTCTTGTTAAATTTTTTGCCTGTCAAAAAAAAAATCTTTTTCGTCCATTTAACTGAACATTAAATTTAAAAAAAAAAAAAAATTAAATAAAAAAAGAGAAAGAGAAGAATAGCTAGGGAACAAACTTTTATTATGAAATTTAAACATGTTGATAGTTTATTTTTCAATAATTCTATAAAATTTAAGAGGCATAAAGATTTTAGGTTGGATTAATTTTCTCATTTATAAATGCATTCTTTGCCTAAACCTATAATAATAAAATTAAAATATTTAAGATCTTACCAATCAAAGAACATTTTCTATCGTAATTGGATGTGAATGTGGCAGCTTGTTGTATGCATCGATGGTCTAAATTGTCAATTTGTTGTGTACACCGAAGTTTTTAAAGTGACAAATTGGTATATGCACTGATGGTCTAAATTTCCAACCTGATGTATACACTGATGGTCTCAATTTCAAACTTGTATGCACCACTAGTCTGAAAATTCAGCGTTTTCAGATTCACCTGTGGTCTAATCTCCCAACATGACGTATGCACCGCTGGACGACAACGTCCACTTTAAAATACTGTGCACTTTTTCACTGGGTTCATCGGTGAGTTTTTTGGACAGTTAAATGCCTTGGCGAACTCCTCACTGTTTGATGCAACACCCCACACTCTTTGAAAAAGATTCATTGAATAACAGATGTAATATTTAAATAGTCAAAATAAAATTATTAACACAGAGTTAATTGTTAAATATTAAAGATGCCATAATTAACATGGTAAATAGATCCATTTCAAAAATTTTTTTGAAACAATGTTATAAGATGACATCGTTGTCTTCATACAATTAAAAAAATACACTTTTTTAAATAAAACGATTCAGTGACATTGACAACTGTCAATAGTTTAGGGACTGGTGCGTGTAAGCGTAGATACGCTTAAAAGCTATAGGATTTTAAATGTAAATATCTCAGCTTTTCGTGTTTTTAGGTTTCTTTAAAATGCAGGTAAACCTTTGCAAAAGGATCTTTAGAAATACAGAACGTATTCTCTGTCGTGTTTGGGACATCCAATTAGCGTTTGGTTATCTAGGTAAGGTTTAGAAATTCGAGTTAGTGTTTGATACATGCAGGTTTTTTTTTTCACCATCCATGCATTGTTTTGATCATATAGGCATGGTTTTGATCGGCCGTGTAGGTTTAGAACACCCTGCTAGGGTTTCAAAAATTCTGGAAGGGTTTGGCACTTCCGGGTAAATTTTATCCATCATTTAAAATATTTTTTTAATACGCTTATAATAAATTTCCAAAAAGTTGATTTAGAAGAAAGTTTGTATTAAGTGTACTACCTGCAAGTTGGGTTTAAAAGATTAGGAAAATGGAAGGAATATAATTTTAAAGCTAAATTTATTGCATTGCGATAATTGATACCGTGGTCTAGTTAAGAGAATTTGACAGGGTGTTCTTAGTAGATTGGGGGAATGGGGGATGTTAAACACTGAACCATGACAGTCTGTCCTTATCCCCGTGACAACCTGCCGTGAGCAGATGGGATCAATCCATTAATAATAATGTCATGAAAGAGTTTACAAACTGCTAATACGATCTGCTGTCACCTGATGTCACACATACACTCATGAGTAGATGGGACATATCCACTAGACAACATGCCATGACAGATTGTACCAATCTACTAGACAACATGCCATGACAAATTGTACCAATCCACTAGACAACATGCCATGACAGATTGTACCAATCCACTAGTAAACATGCCATGACAGATTGTACCAATCCTCTAGACAACATGCCATGACAGATTGTACCAATCCACTAGACAACATGCCATGACAGATTGTACCAATCCACTAGACAACATGCCATGACAGATTGTACCAACACACTAGACAAAATGCCATGACAGAAGGCACCAACCCACTAGACAACATGCAATGACAGAGGGCACCAAACCAATAGACAACGTGCCATGACAAAGGGTACTAACCCACTAGACAACGTGCCATGACAGATTGTACCAAACCTCTAGATAACGTGCCTTGACAGATTGTACCAATGCACTAGACAACGTGCCATGACAGATTGTACCAACCCACTAGACAACGTGCCATGACAGAGGGTACTAACCCACTAGACAACGTGCCATGACGGATTGTACCAGCCATCTAGACAACGTGCCATGACAGATTGTACCAATCCACTAGACAACGTGCCATGGCAGATTGTACCAACCAACTAGACAACGTGCCATGAAAGAGGGCACCAACCCACTAGACAACGTGCCAAGACAGAGGGTACCAACCCACTAGACAACATCCCATGACATAGGGTACCAATCCACTAGACAGCGTTCCATGACAGAGGGCACCAACCCATTAGACAACATGCAATGACAGAGGGCACCAAACCAATAGACAACGTGCCATGACTGAGGGCACGAACCCACTAGAAAACGGGCCTTGAAAGAGGGCACCAATCCACAAGACAACTTGCCAAGACAGAGGGCACCAAACGACTAGACACCGTGCCATTACAGAGGGTACCAACCCACTATACAAAATGGCTTGACAGAGTCTACCAACCCACCAGACAAGTTGCCATGACAGGGGGCACCAACCCACTAGGCAAAGTGCCATGACAGAGGGCACAAACCCATTAGAAAACATGCCATGACAGATTGTGAAAATCCACGAGACAAGTTGCCATGACAGAGGGCACCAACCCACTAGATAACGTGCCATGAAAGAGGGCACAAACCACTAGACAGCGTGCCATGAGAGATTGTACCAACCCACTAAACAACATGCCATGACAGAGGGTACCAATCCACTAGACAGCGTGCCATGACAGAGGGCACAAACCCATTAGAAAACGTGCCATGACAGATTGTGAAAATCCATGAGACAAGTTGCCATGACAGAGGGCACTACCCACTAGATAACGTGTCATAAAAGAGGGCACCAACCACTAGACAGCGTGCCATGAGAGATTGTACCAACCCACTAGACAACATGCCATGACAGAGGGTACTAATCCACTAGACAACGTGACATGACAGATTGTAACACTCCACTACAAAGCGTGCCAGGACAGAGGGCACCAACACACTAGAGAACATGCCATGATAGAGGACACTAACCCATTAGACAACGTGCCATGACACAGGGTACCAGCCCACTAGACAACATGCCATGACAGAGAGCACCATACCACTAGACAACGTGCCATGACAGAGTGTACAGATCCATTAGACAAGTTGCCATGACAGAGTGTACCTATCCCAGTGACAAACTGCCGTTACCAGAGTCACCAATTAACTAGACAACATGCGGTGACATACAATGTTTCCCAGCACTGCAGTTTTAGAGATATTGTATTTGGAATTTGCCTCTGCTAAATAAAAGAACACACAAATAACACACAATATCAATACCCACCTGATTCTCGGGTGATTGTGGGTTGGTCCTGCCCATGGTATACCATTCAAGTCGAGTTCGCAGTATTTCTGTTGGAATATAGCAAATGAAGCAGTAAATTTGTGAGATTTAAATGAAAACATTTTTTAAAAAACTCTTTAAATGAAGTAAATGTTTTTGATCAGTCAATATAGTAGAAATTAAGTCCATGTAGAAGTAATTTAGACAATGTAGCAGTAATTTAGACAGTGTAGCAGTAATTTAGACAATATTGCAGTATTTAAGACAATGTAGCAGTAATTTAAACAACGTGGCAGTAATTTAGACAATTTTAATCAAGTATATCGAGTGAGTCTATCTGAAAAATAAGCATACGATATGTGCAAACATATTTATTCAATGGGTCTAATTCGCGGTGTCTATAAACAAGCAATTATGTTTTTTGGTTATAATTGAGAAAAAAATTGCCGTAAATAGTTACAAGGTCGCTATCTTTTAATTATTTTTTTTAAAAGTAATTTCCTCATGGTATGTGTCCGACAAGATGGACGACCTTGACATATGTACATGCCAGTTCAGTTTTAAACGTACCTGGCCAAACGCCGTGAAAAACATCTGGTCATCTGTGAGGTTCAGGCCAGGAAGACGTCGTTCGTTTAGTTCCCCTAACGCCTTATATGCCTTGTAAGCCAGTTTGACACCCTCATTATCACATATGTCCTCATGTACGCTTGATAAGCCGTTGGTCTTTAGCATTTAAAAAGAAAATGTATTTAAAGATACATCGAATTATTTTTTTTTTGTAATCAAGGACACACAAGTCTGCACTTTGTATGATCAAATCTTGCAATTACTCTTTACTTGGACATGAATTTTAATGGCATAAATTCAAATGAACATCATTTTCATACACTTACTTTAATCAATATCAATGTCATCTACTTACTCGAATATTACCAAATGACCATGGCCTGTAGTGGTCATTCAGACACATGGCGCCTTTCATGTAGGTTTCATTGGCGGCCGAGTGCCAATTAGGCTCACGCTTATAATTAGCATCGTAGAAAATATTCCGATTATCAAAGGCGTGCATGATTTCGTGACCAAGAGTTGTTCCCATGCCTCCATACTGCATTGGTCTAATGACGTATTTGCACACAAAAATGTTAAAAGGATCTATGTACCTTAGAAAACTATTTCAGTTTATTTATTTAGGCATTTTTATATAGCGCTTATCATAAAGCTCTAAGCGCTTTACAATTATTAAAACATGTAAGCTAAGTAAATACAATGAGACACTAGGATAGTAACTACTATTCTATAGAAACAATGAAAATGGCTATAAAAAGAGGACACTTTGACACTTCAGGATTAAACCGAAACAGAAAATGAGGTAGGGCAAGGAGGGTGCATCACAGGTCATAGGCGGACCTAAACAGATGAGTTTTAAGGGACTTTTTGAAAATTGACGAGGTTTCACTATGACGTATATGGAAGGGGAGCTGGTTCCAGAACGTGGGCCCATGGAGTTAAAATACTGAATGAAATATTGTATCGGGGCGAATGTGTCATGTACGAGAATAAACACAACTCAGCGCTTCAAGGACATTATTTTAGTTATTTTCCTCCGTAAAGAGACCCCTTTCTAACAGAGGCTGTCCAACATTTCTTGCTTTTCACTACTGGGAAAACGTGGCGGCTTGAGCTGTGCCCCGTTGAAAGGGTGCATGGGTGTGGTTTCAAAAACTACAATTTTTACATATACCGTGTTTAACATGGACAGTAAAATTATATTTTTTTAAGATAACAATGGACTCTTATAAATTTAACATGTCAGTGCTTTATAGAGATTCACTCACGTGGGCAAATGCAAACTGAATGAGGGTAGTTGCAAAACCGAACTGGCGATGTTGACTCTATTTTCTCTACCTAAGTAAAACGCCCGAATTGTGTGGAGTTGAGCCAACCCGTTGCTGTGGAAACGATCAAACGGAGAAAAGTTTGAAAAAGTCCAACCAAAATAATCAACTGAATCGATGTTGGGAGTAACGGTGAGACCAATTCTTTTAGTATAACTATAATATGGTTGTTCTTTTGATGTAACTGCTCATTCTTTTGGTGTAACTACCTCATTCTTTTGGTGTAAATGTTCATTGTTTTACTTTAACTATTCATTCTTTTACTGTAACGACCCATTGTTTTACCGTAACCACTCATTCTTTTACCGTAACTACTCATTGTTTTACTGTACCTACTCATTCTTTTGATGTAACAACTTTTACTGTAACTGCTCATTCCTTTTATTGTAACTACTCATCCTTTTGGTGTAACTACTCATCCTTTTGGTGTAACTACTCATCCTTTTGGTGTAACTACTCATCCTTTTGGTGTAACTACTCATCCTTTTGGTGTAACTACTTATCCTTTTGGTGTAACTACTCATCCTTTTGGTGTAACTACTCATCCTTTTGGTGTAACTACTCATCCTTTTGGTGTAACTACTCATCCTTTTGGTGTAACTGCTCATTCCTTTTATTGTAGCTACTCATCCTTTTGGTGTAACTACTCATCCTTTTGGTGTAACTACTCATCTTTTTGGTGTAACTGCTCATTCCTTTTATTGTAACTACTCATCCTTTTGGTGTAACTACTCATCCTTTTGGTGTAACTACTCATCCTTTTGGTGTAACTGCTCATTCCTTTTATTGTAACTACTCATCCTTTTGGTGTAACTACTCATCCTTTTGGTGTAACTACTCATCCTTTTGGTGTAACTGCTCATTCCTTTTATTGTAACTACTCATCCTTTTGGTGTAACTACTCATCCTTTTGGTGTAACTGCTCATTCCTTTTATTGTAACTACTCATCCTTTTGGTGTAACTACTCATCAATGATCGTACTCATGCTTTGACTTAGTGCACACGGATATCATGCGATTTAAATATTCCTTCACGTTTTCTTCACGTGGTTTGGTTTTTGTGATCTGCCATCGTTTACTCATTCTATGTGTTTCATAGTTCTTTGAGACTTAAAATTTATTTTTTATTTATGGATCCGGACGTATTGATATCGTGGCCTGGTACCTGGTACCTACTAAAGAAATAAAAATATTATTTATTTGTTTCAGTTCTTTTTTATAATTTGAGCTAATCGTTTACTCCTATTTCTAGTTCACAAGCCAATTTACCCAACGTTGCGCGGTGACCTGAAGCTTCGTGTATGGGTTTAGCTTTTAACAAAGAGACTCCTTATTGTGGAATCTCATGATTTCCTCATCAACACCAGTAACAGAAACATTGCAAATCCCATCTACATGCATAGGAGCCAAAATGATCAATAAATTGATCGTGGGCCCTTAAGATATAGAAGAAGAACCTCCGGCCCGCATTTGAAACGTTATGGAAACTCCAAAAATATATTTAAATCTGATATCATAACATTTGATAAAAATCATTAAATCATAAACTTATATTATTTGAAAATCACTATATGTAAAACAACATAAAATGTATACTGGCAAGTCTAAAATGAAGGTTCCCCCAATAGGCTTTGTCATTTCTTAGACCGGAAAACGTCATAGCGTGCTATTTTTAGAAGGTTGGTGGACAAAATATTGCTGAAAACATGGCAGCTTATAATGTGTTTCAGCATATCTTTCGGACGATCCTTGTATCAAGAGTTACTGTTACATTGGCCGTTCGCGCAATGAAGTCGCATTTCAGAAAATAGAAGTAAAAAAATATATGTAAAATATTTCGTAAAATAGAGTTGTAAACAAATTTCAAGTACACTTTGCTAACATAGTAATGCTGAACAGTGTTGACATTTTGTCCGCGCTGAGTACCCGGTTGATGAGTAATAATGACATCAGTTCTATTAATAGATTTCCGCCATTGAATGACAAACCCTATACTTTTAGATTTGTTGCAGTCATGTAACTTAAAATAGCTTGGTGCGCCCATGACCTGAATGACATTTGTTTCAGCTAAATTGGAGATGAGAAAAGTGGGTCAAACGTTAGATGCAAGATTTGAGCAAACCCAATCTTAAGAACGTGCATAAAAAAACAAAGAAACTTTGTTTATGCAGGATGGTCTTGTCAAAGTCTTATCTTTAAATAGATTCTAGGACATCAGAGCGCCCTGAGCATGTTAAAATAGCATGGACACAAGCGCCTTAAAAGTCATCAATCATCATCATCATGTGACATGTGACAGAATGGTCGTGACAAAACGTATATCATGCGTCTTTTGACAAGATGTTCGTGACAAGCTCTAATCACGTGTCAAACCCGTTTGATTCCATTGCGAATAATCTAGCTACTTCGTTATACTCAAACTTAAAGCGATCGTCCACCCTTATACTTGCATGCAAGGTTCACTGTGGCTTTGGTGATATTTTTGTCTCCCAGTCTCCGTCTTGATACTCATAACGCTGAAGAGCAATTCACCAGGATCGACCGATACGTTGTGATAAATTGTGTCCAACGTTACTGGGTCAATGACCCAGTCCGGGTAACCAATGAGCAGTTCCATGGCTTGGGCTTTTCGAATGAGGCCCGCTTTTAATTGTTCACCAAACCAAGGGACGCCATTAAAGGTATTGACCATTTGTTTCTTGATGTTCTCTCCCATGACGAGGACCTGTAGTATAAACATTGTAACATAATAAAACATATTAAAAAAAACAAACCAACAAAAGAACTCAACAAAACTTAAAATGAGGAGGACGATGTGAGGAGGGCGATGTTAGGAGGATGATGTTAGGAGGACGATGTGAGGAGGGCGATGTGAGGAGGATGATGTTAGGAGGACGATGTGAGGAGGGCGATGTTAGGAGGATGATGTTAGGAGGACGATGTGAGGAGGGCGATGTGAGGAGGATGATGTTAGGAGGACGATGTGAGGAGGGCGATGTGAGGAGGACGATGTGAGGAGGACGATGTGAGGAGGACGATGTGAGGAGGACGATGTGAGGAGGACGATGTGAGGAGGGCGATGTGAGGAGGGCGATGTGAGGAGGGCGATGTGAGGAGTGGAGGATGATGTGAGGAGGAGGATGTGAGGAGGGCGATGTTAGGAGGACGATGTGAGGAGGACGATGTTAGGAGGACGATGTGAGGAGGACGATGTGAGGAGGACGATGTGAGGAGGGCGATGTGAGGAGGGCGATGTGAGGAGGGCGATGTTAGGAGGACGATGTGAGGAGGACGATGTGAGGAGGACGATGTGAGGAGGGCGATGTGAGGAGGACGATGTGAGGAGGACGATGTTAGGAGGACGATGTGAGGAGGACGATGTGAGGAGGACGATGTTAGGAGGACGATGTGAGGAGGACGATGTGAGGAGGACGATGTGAGGAGGGCGATGTGAGGAGGACGATGTGAGGAGGGCGATGTTAGGAGGATGATGTTAGGAGGGCTATGTGAGGAGGGCGATGTTAGGAGGATGATGTTAGGAGGGCTATGTGAGGAGGGCGATGTTAGGAGGATGATGTTAGGAGGGCTATGTGAGGATCGCGATGTGAGGAGGATGTTTCGAGAAGGGTGGTGCGAAGAGTAAGATGTGAGGAGGATGTTTCAAGGAGAGTGTTGCGAAGAGAAAGATGTGAGGAGGATGTTTCGAGGAGGGTGGTGCGAAGAGTAAGATGTGAGGAGGATGTTTCAAGGAGAGTGTTGCGAAGAGAAAGATGTGAGGAGGATGTTTCGAGGAGGGTGGTGCGAAGAGTAAGATGTGAGGAGGATGTTTCGAGGAGGGTGGTGCGAAGAGTAAGATGTGAGGAGGATGTTTCGAGGAGGGTGGTGCGAAGAGTAAGATGTGAGGAGGATGTTTCGAGGAGAGTGGTGCGAAGAGTAAGACGTGAGGAGAATGTTTCGAGGAGGGTGGTGCGAAGAGTAAGATGTTAGGAGGAAGTTTTTGCTGTTGCTTTTTTAAACAGAAATTCAATAATTTAAATAAGGAAATAAATAAATACCAGCCGACCCGCAAAAAATTACAGACTTGGGGTGTGCGCATGGCTGGCAAGCGAGGGTGGTGCAGGAGGGGGGGGCGGTAGCTCCACTGCAGTGCACATGTCTCGAGACCAACGATGGGCAGGCAAGGGAGGGGAGGGTTTGCCTGCGTCTTGCTTGCTCTGGCGTATCTAAATATAGTCCGCCAAACATTGGCGACAGTAATGCGTGAACTTCCCATCTACTAAAGTTACTTGACAAAAACGTGAACTCAAGTTTCGCACACTTAAGAATGCCAATTTTGGTACACCCCTCCCCACCCCCTCCTTTTTTTCATGATACGTCACTGCACACATTTATTTCACGCCCATGAAATGTATAAATATAGCCGACCCGCGGCTTAGCATACGCCGCGATCTTGTTGGGGTGTGTGCATGTCTGGAGGGCGAGGGTTGTGCAGGAGGGGGGAGGGGGCGAGTGCCTTACCGCAGTGCCCATGTCTCGAGACCAACGATAGGGAGGCAAGGGAAGGGATGGTAGGGGTTTGCCTGCGTCTCGCTTGCTATGGCATATCTATATATAGCCTGCGTCGTCTTTCTTGCCCTAGTTTCACTGGCGAAATATATAAATAAATATGCTACATCTAATTAGTTTTTTTTACAAATTGGAAATACATTTAGTAAAATAAAATTCAAAGAAGTAAGCGCTAATTGAGATTTTTTTCAAAATGTGTCGTAGCTGCACGCATTTTCTTTTTTTGGCAAATGTAGTAGATGCGACATTCACGCATTGCCGCCACCATTGTTTGACAGGTTATTTCTTGCCTACATCAACACATAGATAATTATTCATTGAATGGAAATCTTTTCTATACAACATCATACCGATTACATTCAGATAAAAACTTTAAAATAATTATGTTATTACAATAATAGAAAAAATGACTAAGCGTCCCGGGTTAATAATTGAAGGCATATTTACACGTTTGTGCGAAATTTCAACATTTAATTTCAAATTTTTACGGATGTAACTGAATCAAGTTTTGATTTATTGCATCATCAACAAAAAAAGAAAGGAAAATTAAATGCCTAAATATTTGGACCATTTTCTCGCTCTTTAAAAGTATATTTAGGAAAGAGAAAATCATACATTTAAAAAACAAGCATATAGGAATAAATATTTACGTTTCTAAAAATCAATGATTAATAGTAATGTTTATCTTCTATATTCTATTACTTCTAAAATATTAAGCAATTCATAAGCTAATTTGTCAAGCCTGAAATATCATAGGCTTTATAAATTCATCCATACAAGTATCATGGGATTGAAAGATATGATCATCCACATAAAATATTCACACCTTTTTCATAACGTTATTTTTGTTTTTCAGAGAAATGTTTAATGCATTATTTCTATAGTTTTAAATTACACGTAAACACATTTCCGGTTGAACATAATTTGGATTTTATGTATTGCTTACTCTGGGTGGCCGAATGGTCTAGACTGAGCAAACCTCAAGTTTGTGGTCTGGAGTTCAATTCAAATGTCAAGCCAACAAAAAATTCCCCCCCCCCCCTGGTGGATGAGACTCGTTAACCTTGGTCGGCAACTCATCTAAGAGAAGGAAACTCTGAATTCAAACCCGCAGTTGGAGTCCCGTAAGGCGCATACAGTGACAATTTTTGCAATCGTACCCATCCATGGTCGTCTTGACGTTGAGTCTTGCCACTGGATATGGAGGGCCCGGATGAGAGAGTGAGGTTGACGCCACCCAACTCTTCCTCACTTTGAACAAAAGTCACTAGCGCAAGTCATCAGTCACCGGACGACTCGATGGTCCTATCTTCAACGGACGAACAACAACTCATAAAATACGCCCACTTCACTGCTTCGTATCGTCTGCTGCTTGTTGACCCATACAAATACCTAAAACTTGAATAAAAGTGAACCTTTGATGAGTTGACATGTGAGGCCCTTAACCTGGGGCATGCAATTTATTTTAAACTGTTATACACAGAAACGTTGGATTTCAAATTATTTTATCATAAATTGTCAGCTGCATTTGAAATATATGATTAGATTTTATAAATAGCACTATACACTACACGATCTGTATTCCCAGTACAAGTGTAACACTGCAACTGTTTGGTATCACCATAGTACTTCCGGTGTACGCCGTACTACTCCCGGTGTACGCCATACTACTCCCGGTGTATGCCATACTACTCCCGGTGTACGCCATACTACTCCCGGTGTACGCCATACTACTCCCAGTGTACGCCATACTACTCCCGGTGTACGCAATACTACTCCGGGTGTACGCAATACTACTCCCGTTGAACGCTATACTACTCCCAGTGTACGCCATACTACTCCCGGTGTACGCAATACTACTCCGGGTGTACGCAATACTACTCCCGGTGAACGCTATACTACTCCCAGTGTACGCCATACTACTCCCGGTGTACGCAATACTACTCCCGGTGAACGCTTTACTACTCCCGGTGTACGCCATATTACTTCCACCGTACGACATTATTCCCGGTGTACGCCATACTAATCCCGGTTTACGACATGTTACTCCCGGTGTACGCCACATTACTCCCGGTGTACGGAACGCAACATTTAAATGTACCCGTCCCCATTTTGGATTGATATCATATTATCAGATTGAAATAGATCGAACTCTCTAGGGGCTGGAATGGAAACTTTAACTTCCCTAAAACACCCCTTCCCTTCCCGGAGTGGCCAAAGCCGCACTCTAATAGGTTTTCTACACATGGATTCTACTTTGTAATTATGTCACATCGTAGCTGTGATGAAACAGTCACCTAGGAGCAGTCCCCTTACAGGCTGCATGAGAAAAAGCATCTCCACTAGCGGCTAACATAAGACGTGTACTCATGTCTCGATCTGTGTCTCGTGCACTTGTGTTGACGTGTGACGCCCGGACCAAGAGGCTCGAGTTTCTTGTGGAGACCGGTGATGCCCGGCAAATGTGGCTCGCCCTTGATGTGGTGACCAGTGATGCCCGGCCTATGTGGCTCGCCCTTGATGTGGTGACCGGTAATGCCCGGCAAATGTGGCTCGCCCTTGATGTGATGACCGGTGATGCCCGGCACACGAGGCTCGCCTCTGATGACTTGACCGACGCCGAACTGTATCAGACGCTATTATGGCGATGTGTTACGCATGCAGAAAATGATGTCGGTCATTGCCGGTGTATATATTTGCATACAATTTGGTTGCTTGTGGTATTAGCGTTGTATTTTAGGTTAAAGTAGCTATGAAGTTTCCAAGGCTTTTCGGAAGGAAACAGTGCTACTGTTAGAACGAGTGTTGTGTTTTGCTACTGTAATACTGCGTGATATTTTAGGGCCCACGATCATTTTTGCCCCAGCTTTGAATTCAGGGCACGCCTCCCTTAGATGAGCTGCCTTGCTCTTGGAAGAGATGCCGTCAAAGCCTAGCGAATCACCACCACCCGGGCTACTTGGAATGTTGACTTTGGTGGGACAACTTCAGACCACAAGCTTTATGTATTAAGTCGGTATAGACCACTCGGCAACCCAGCATCTGTTATGCTACTGTAGATCTGTGTGTTATCTTACTTCGGTAGGCTTCTCGAATGCACTGAGATATTTTATAGAGAAGCAGTAGGACGCAAAAAATCTACAGTAAAAACCACGCAGTAACACGACCCCCGCGAGTATGAGAATTGTTATTCATTTACGCCAATCATCACGTTAGAGCGGTGTTCAACTGTTTGCCCAAACAACATAACCAATCCTTACTTGAGACTTTGTTTCTGGTGTTAAAAAATTATGAACATGTAGAGCGGACACGACGGGTAAAAAAAAAGTTGTCTTAATCTGTGCCGTACAGAAGTCTTCTCTCGTGTCCGTTGCCGGTGGCCGAAAGGAGGCTGGTAGATATTCCCTAATTTCTTCCAGGAAGTTGATCATCAAAACATTTGCAAGCACTCTATATATTAAAGGAATATATTAGCATTGCATCCATACATCAAATAGGATAAATATAATTGTGCAACTTACATTTTTAAAAAAAACATTAGCAATACATATCCATATTAAATAGACATCCATTATACAGAAACATTAGCACTACCTCTTTACATTATACAGAAACATTAGCAATACCTCTTTACATTATACAGAAACATTAGCAATACCTCTAAACATTAAAACGACACGTTAGCGATACCTCTACACATTAAATCAGGGGTCTGAAACTCGCGGCCCGCAAGACGATATTTTGCGGCCCGCAACATGACTGCAAAGTTTAGTGTTAATGCGTCCCGCGAGTTTTCCCCATTTTCATATCTATAAGGTGACGATTTCCGTCGAATCTCACCGACTAGTCTAATTCTGATTTTTATTATGTTGTATAGATTTGGAGGTTGATTATAATGGTAAAAACTGTTTTAAAATTGGACTAAAATTTTTATTTGATAGCATTTGATGAGACAAACATCGCCAAAAAGCAGTTTTGAGAAAAGTTTAAAAAGTCAATTATCGATTAATGCATAACCATAATTGTGTAAATCAGAGCAATCTCACACACTATAACAAAATCCCCATTAAAATTTCCCCCTAATTTTAACGAGTAAGGGAAATTCCCAGTATGTCAGCTTGATTCCATTTCCAAATAAGGTCAGTCAAAAAGGCCTTTTTTACGATAAAAAAATCAAAATTCATTCTTCCTACAATAGCGTCTTCCTTCGCATCAATAATTCATAAGTATTACCTTCCCCGCCTACTGTCTGAACACATTCTAGCATTTAAAGCCCTCGCGGAGAAGGCTGGGGTGGTTCTTCCTGTACTAAGTGATCCCAAATGGCTCATGGACTTGGCTTTTCTTGTTGACATTACACATGAGATAAATGTACTCAACAAGAGGTAACAAGACCAGGGGCAACTTGTCAGGGCATTCTGCACAAAACTTGTGTTATGATTCTTAGAAATCTCGGCCATTTCCGAAAAGGAAAATTACGCATGGATTCGAGCACACCATTCGGTAGTGACTATACTGATGCCATCGCAAAATTAAAGGAAATATTTGATTATATATTTTTAGACTTCAATTCACACAGAGCCACTTTTCAACTTTTTTCAGATCCTTTCTCCTATAATGAGGAAAATGAGCCCCCACCTACCGCCCTCCAACTTGCGCTTCAAATAGAGCTGATTGATCTTCAGTGCAATTCTAAATTCAGGGAGTGAATGGAGAAACAGACACGCGTGGACAATTTATGGCAGCATTGCCCTCCACCTTCCCTGAGATTTACAGGTTGCTTAAGCGGATCATGGGCCTTTTTGGGAGTACCTATCTGTGTGAAAAGCTCTTTTCCCACTATGGAATTTAACAAGTCAAATTTCAGGGCCAAACTTGCTGATGAGCATCTTCAAACTATTCTGAGGATCTCAGTTGCTTCCTCACTCAAACCAAATGTTGCTCAGCTGTGTAAGAAGACGCCTAGTTCTTGAGAACCCTTAATGTTTTATTTTTTTATTAATAAAGGTAGAGCAGATTGTGACATTTGTACTTTATTAAATTTTAATGACATATTTTTGTCTTGATGCGGCCCAGTCTCACTCAGACTCTACCTTCTGCGGCCCCCGGATGATTTAAATTTGAGACCCCTGCATTAAATAGACACATTAGCGATACCTCAACATATTAAGTGATTGCTGGCTGGCCACATGCAGCCCGCGGACCGTATGTTGCGCAGGCCTGTTCTACTACAATAGAGTCTATCTACTAACACGATAGAGTGAAACCTCTACTACAATGGAATGAAATTTATGATATTAGATTTGTCACTCTTAATTCATCACGCTCCTATTAAGTCTAAATATCTGGACTGTCATACACATAAATACTTAAAATGAACAACACAAACATTGCCTTCCTTACTCGCTGTCAAATTTTTTAAAAGCGTTTCCTAATGAATCGAAATATCCAGGGTCAGAACAGTACGTCGAATTTTCATCTGAACCTACTTCAACGCCAAACGTCTCTCTGAGGTACTGCTTCACATCCAGCTAAGAGGATCAAAATATGCAGCAGTTAAAGGGGAAAGGATGCTTTTAAAATATTCCACTGAAAGTTTGATTCCTGTTCACCGATCTAAAGTTTCTAAACATTCTACAATATTTATGAAGTCCTAATCTTAAAAGCGTTACCCCCGTCCAGGTAGCGGACTAAACAAGTCTTTGTATTAAATTGTTTTAACTCTTTTAGTTCTCATTAAACCGAAAATTCACATACCAAAGAACCCATTTTTTGCTGCAAAGAGTCGATGGTGACCGGTTCCGTTGTCTCAAGATGTTGTTTGAATACCTGGAAAATAAACTGTAAGGTAGGACACTCGGCAGATGCGAACTTCTGTCTGATTTTTTTCATCATAATGACAACAGCTAGTGTGCGTGTAGTTGTAATTCTTCTCTTTGTCTCAAACATTGTCAAAATGAACTAAAGAGACAAATACTGCCTCATGAGAGCTGTGAAGCTAGCGACACTGAAATGATCAACTGAATGACTTAGGGTGAAATTTTAAGAAGTCCCACGGGATATTTAATGATCATTGTGACCTGCTGTCCATATGGAGCACGGTATAAATAAGGACTTTCTTACTTATTGCACTTGATTAGTACAGTATAAAATTGACATATTATAAAGATGAATGTAATTGACTTTAAGTATTTGGAAAAGTGACACATCTCTCTTTTACTATTTGTAACCTAGAAACAATTGAACGCTCGCTGTATTTCAACGACGTGTGTAAAATGAAGCGAAAAGACAACCAACAAGTTTTATGAACTATTTCACAAAGGAGAGAATCTTAACTCGTTCATTTCGTATCATTATTAACGATAAAATTAAATTGACTCAAGATTATTGAAAGGCACGTGGTTCATATATGTTATAAACCTAAAGATAGATCTGCGATGCCACGTGGTTCAAATATGTTATAACTTTAAAGATAGATCTGTGACGTCACAACCTACCAGGGAATCAAAAAAATTGAGTACCGCCTCAGCTTTTGATTGGATGTTCCAAGGGCTTCCACCCAATGTATGCGCCTTTCTCATTATGCTATCAATCACATACGCACGATAGTGTGGGGCAGCTAAGTACAAACTCATGTATGTGGTTGGATCATATGGCTTGAACTGAAATATTTTAGGAAACAGGACAACAATTAGCATTACACATTGTCAACCAATTAACTGTAAGATTTCCTAATAATTTCTTGGTAATTTTAAAACTTTAGTTTTCTTAAACTTTAAAATATCAGCTGATAAACAATATATCAGTAGACAATAACTGTCATAAGCTGACTACCTTCATGCAATAAACATTGACATGAAATAAGTTGACTACCTTCGAGCAATAAACATTGACATGTAATAAGTTGACTAGCTTCGAGCAATAAACATTGACATGTAATAAGTTAACTACCTTCATGCAATAAAAAATGACATTAAATAAGTTGACTACCTTCGAGCAATAAACATTGACATGTAATAAGTTGACAACCTCCATACATTAAACATTGACATGTAATAAGTTGATAACCTTCATGCAATAAATGTTGACATGTAATAAGTTGACTACCTCCATGCATTAAACATTGACATGTAATAAGTTGACTACCTACATGCAATAAACATTGAAATGTAATAAGCTGACTACCTTCATGCAATAAACATTGACATGTAATAATTTGACTACCTTCATGCAATGAAAATTGACATGAAATAAGTTGACTACCTTCATGCAATAAACATTGACATGTAATAAGTTGACTACCTCCATGCAATATACATTGACATTTAGTAAGCCGACTACCTACATGCAATATACATTGACATGTAATAAGCCGACTACCTACATGCAATATACATTGACATTTAATAAGCCGACTACCTACATGCAATATACATTGACATGTAATAAGCCGACTACCTCCATGCAATATACATTGACATTTAATAAGCCGACTACCTACCTACAATATACATTGACATAGAATAAGCCGACTACCTACCTACAATATAAATTGACATGTAATAAGCCGACTACCCACATTGCATCAAAAAGTGGCATGTTGTTGTTGTTCGTCCGTCGGTCGAAATCGACTAGGACCATCGAGTCATCCGGGTGGGGGGGGGGGGTGGGTTACGGTGAGCTCGTAGGAGTCTTGCTACCTACATGCTGTACACATTGAGATATAATAAGCTGACTAGCTACATGCTGTACACATTGAGATGTAATAAGCTGACTAGCTTCATGCTGTACACATTGAGATGTAATAAGCTGACTAGCTACATGCTGTGCACATTGAGATGTAATAAGCTTACAAGCTACATGCTGTACAATTGACATGTAATAAGCCGACTACCTACATGCAATATACATTGACATGTAATAAGCCGACTACCTACATGCATTATACGTTGACATGTAATAAGCCGACTACCTACATGCAATATACATTGACATGTAATAAGCCGACTACCTACATACAATATACATTGATATGTAATAAGCAGACTACCTACATACAATATACATTGACATGTAATAAGCCGACTACCTACATGCAATATACATTGACATGTAATAAGCCGACTACCTACATGCATTATACGTTGACATGTAATAAGCCGACTACCTACATGCAATATACATTGACATGTAATAAGCCGACTACCTACATGCAATATACATTGATATGTAATAAGCCGACTACCTACATGCAATATACATTGACATGTAATAAGCCGACTACCTACATGCATTATACGTTGACATGTAATAAGCCGACTACCTACATGCAATATACATTGACATGTAATAAGCCGACTACCTACATGCAATATACATTGATATGTAATAAGCCGACTACCTACATGCAATATACATTGATATGTAATAAGCCGACTACCTACATGCAATATACATTGACATGTAATAAGCCGACTACCTACATGCATTATACGTTGACATGTAATAAGCCGACTACCCACATTGCATTAAAAATTGGCATGTTGTTGTTGTTCGTCGGTCGGTCGAAATCGACTAGGACCATCGAGTCATCCGGGGAAGGGGGAGGGTGGGTTACGGTGAGCTCGTAGGAGTCTTGCTACCTACATGCTGTACACATTGAGATGTAATAAGCTGACTAGCTACATGCTGTACACATTGAGATGTAATAAGCCGACTAGCTACATGCTGTTCACATTGATATGTAATAAGCTTACAAGCTACATGCTGTACAATTGACATGTAATAAGCTGACTAGCTACAGGCTGTACACATTGACATGTAATAAACTGACTAGCTACATGCTTTACACATTGACATTTAATAAGCTGACTAGCTACATGCTGTACACATTGACATGTAATAAGCTGACTAGCTACATGCTGTACACATTGGCATGTAATAAGCTGACTAGCTACATGCTGTACACATTGACATGTAATAAGCTGACTAGCTACGTGCATTAAACATTGACATATAATCAGCTGACTACTTACGAGCAATAGTTTCATCAGTCTTTTAGTTTCTGTATTGAGGACTTCCTGGTGTTCTAAGCTGAAGAACAAGCTGAATCCCATCTTGTGGAGTTTTGTCAGCGTTGTCTGAAGACTCCATTTCCGCTTGTCAAAAGGAACAACACCGACGTTGGACAAAGTCCAGGAACCGAGATAGCTGATGACCTGTGACATTCGTGATACTATCACATAATTCAATTCATTTCTCAGCATATTTAAAATTTCTTTTGAACAAAACATTTAACAAAATAAATATCTGGTTCCATGGTCTGGGTCCAGAAACTCAGCTCCTGTGGAAAACTCGTCGTCCCCAAACGATTTTATTTCCAGAAAAAACATGGAGAATGACACAGAAAAATATCCCTGATGTCCATTTCCAGAGAGACAGAGATTATATATGACAGAGAAATATCACAGATATTACGTCCCAGCAAAACATGGAGAATGACAAAGTAAATGTCAGACAGATTTATTTGATTTTTTTTAAAATACAAAAATGTTATCTAAGTTTCAGCTGACGTTCAAGTGTAAGGAAATTAATCCTACTAGAACTTCGTGTTAAGGAAGAAATAGCTCTCGCCAGCAAGCAGCTCAAAATAGGGAAAGCGCCAAGACCCGATAACATCACAGCAGTCATGATGAGAGCTGATATATGTACAAAAGTCAATATGCTCCACCCTCTGTTTGAAAAGATATGGGAAAAAGAGAGAGTTCCAAAAGATTTGAAAGAAGGATACCTAATCAAGATACCAAAGAAAGGGGATCTTAGCAATTGTGCAAATTACAGAATAATCACACTGCTATCTGTACCAGGAAAGGTCTTTAATAGAATTATTTTGAACAGAATGAAAGAACAGGTCGGCATGCAGCTACGAGATCAACAGGCCGGCTTCCGCCAAAACAGATCATGCACCGATCAAATTGCATCAGTAAGAATCATTGTAGAACAGTCCATCGAATGGAACTCCCCCTATATATAAATTTTAAAGACTAAGAAAAGGCCTTTGATTGCCTGGACCGTCAAACCTTGTGGAAACTTCTTCGGCACTATGGAGTACCGGGGAAACTAGTCTGGGTCATTCAGAGCTCTTATAAAGAAATGACATGCAGTGTGATCCAAGAAGGTAGACTCACAGATTCCTGTACAGTCAAAACAGGAGTCAGACAAGGGTGCCTCTTGTCCCCATTTCTTTTCACCCTTGCAATTGAATGGATAATGAAAAAAATGCACAGACAAAAAGAGAAAAGGGATACAGTGGACACTCTGGGAACAACTGAATGATTTAGACTTTGCAGACTACATTGCACTTCTGTCCCACAACCAGAAGCAAATGCAGGAAAAGAAAAAAGACGTAGTCACCTTTTCAGCACATCTTGGTCTAAATAAAAATAAAAGCAAGACAAAAATCATGAAGGTAAACCCATCCAACCAAGAGCATATTTGTCTGGCAGGAAAGGCACTGGAAGAAGTGGAGTCCTTCAATGACTTAGGCAGCACCATAGACAGAAATGGCGGATCCGATGCTGACGTAAGGGCCAGAATTGGAAAGGCTAGATCAGAATTTGTGCTATTAAAGAAAATATGGGAGTCGAAGGAGCTGAACCTGCAAACCAAAGTCAAAATCTTTAATACAAATGTCAAAACAGTCCTACTATATGGAAAACAACAGTGAGCCTTATGCAGAAAGTGGAGATATTCATAAACACATGCCTTAGAAAGATCCTGAACATCAAATGGCAAAATACTATCAATAACAAAGATCTACTAGAAAGGACATACCAGGTGCCCATTGATGAAGATATCATAAAGAAAAGGTGGAGTTGCGTAGGGGATACGCTCCGAAAACCCCCAGATAACATCACCAGACAATGCCTAACATAAAACCCACAGGGGAAAAGAAAGAGAGGAAGGCCTCAGAATACATGGAGACACGAGCTAGAGGCAGTCACACAAAATATGGGATACACCTGGAAGCAATTGGAACGGAAAGCACAGGACCGTGATGAGTGGAAAGTTCTTGTAGACCACCTTTGCCCCAGACGGGGTAGAAAGTCATCAGTACGTAAGTAAGTATAATAAATAAGAACTCCTGTGAGAATTTTTTTTACCCGAAATTGTCATGTAATAAAAGTTCTTACCACAGGTTGTCATATAAGACACTCATCTATGAAAAATTTTAAACAATATGCATAACTTTATCAACAATACAGATCTAATTACCTGTAACACCCTGGACGTATTCTTCTCCTCCAGATCCTTTTCATCCATACACATTTGATAAAATGTTTTCATCTTGAAAACAGCGCTTGATTTCTTGCCAAATAGCTCAGTATCATTGGAGGACAAAATCTGCAAAGAAATTTACAAATTTTAAAAATTAAAAAAAAAAAACACTTTCGAAAACATTTCTTGAATGATACTTGAAGCGTATCTAAATGTACCAGTAGTCCTGTTTCGCCGTTGAAGGTTAATGCAAATCATTTTATTTTAAATCAAAATTACCTTTTGTAACCTCAAAAAAAGCCGACCATCTGCTTCTGAGTACAAATTAACGAACTCTTTTCTAGGAATTTTCGTCTTGGCATGGAGTCCACCGCAAGAGTAGAGATACAGATCATCACAAGGGTTGACAGAAAAGTCCATCTTGTTTAAGATGTAGCCGCTTGTCTCCACACATGGCTTGGTTAGGCACGGGAGTTGACTGGTCACAGCGTCGCCTTCCCGCGGCACGGGGAGTGGGCCACTGATGAAGCGGGCTCCCTAAAACAATTTGTATTTTTCATGTAAGCGTCTCACCATATTTTAAATTGTCTTTTTTTGATTGAACTATCGGCTCAGTGGGGGAAAAAGAAGAACAAAAAAAACAATATATTTTCTTTGGGTATTAAAATAAATGTGTTTTTGTTATTGTTCTAGCTGTATTTCACGTTCCAGTGTGTAACTTGAAATCGGAATGCATTGTTTGCGACGTCCACGGCCTTCCTTTTTGTACAGGCAAAGAAGGTCAACATCTGGACCGCCGAATTCTAGGACATCATTTATCATTTTGAACGTAAACAAAACTTGTAAATACTAAAGTAACAGAACTTATAATTTAAAATGTTGTAGATCTAATGTCTGGTGCTTTGTTGGTTTTTCAAATATAGTACGCGTCAAATTTTCTCCAAATTTTGTTGTTAATTTTTATTTAGCACTGAATTGGTGGGAGGGGGGGGGAGTATTTTTATAAACTAAATTGATACAATTGATTCAAACACCATAAGTGCATCGAGAACGGCTCCCTTCTTTGGATTTTTCTGTTTAAATTGTTAATGTTTTCTGTTGACCAGATTATGACGATGCCATTGATGCTTTTGCCACCACAAGGTTGAAGAAAACGACTCAAGTCAATATGAAAATAAAACTTTTTAAAACTAAAAAAATAATAATATTTACTCGAGAAAATTCAAGCTGAAAGTCAGTAATGTTCTTACTAGATAGATTTTGTTTTTAAACAGATTCGATTTTAATGTTCAATAGAAAAAAAATACACTGATATATTATATTTTACTGATTATTATATTTATTACTTGTCATAATGACACTGTTATTTAAGGACCTTATCTTCTGTCTTCTCCTGCGACAACTTTTAAATTATCAACAGTTGATGACCTCCTATGATTTTAGGAGGTAGGGGAGCCAAACTTTAGAAATTCCTTGGGGCGTCAATTATGCTAGCTAGTGTCGGCCATGGGTATGTATTTTAATATTTAAAGCTGATTATCATTTATTTTTATTTTTTCAAAATAACTTTCACAACCAAAATGTTATTAACACTAAAAAATGCAGCAGCAACAACAAATATCGTCTCACATTCTCTGATTTGGTTTCTTTTGATTTCAAAGATCTGTATTCATAGGTGTTTGTTAAGAACATTACGATGACTCCCAGAAGACACAAGACTAGACCCGATACGACACCAGCCACCACGTATTTGAGATCACCTTCAGCATTTTTCTTGTGAACATTTCTCTTATCGTCGGCATCATCGCTCTCCATTTTCAATAAGTTCTTTCAGTAGGACGATGTTATTATTTGTAATTTTTTTTTATCCTTTGTATTGGTTTCTTTTTGATGTTGATATATCGGCGGCCATCTTACCTTAATTACAAGTGCGCATCTAATCCGTGCTTTAATGGCTAAAGAAATTATGAGTTATTGGAAATTTCCGAAAACAAGAGAAGCCATGTAGATTAAACAGCATTGTGTGCATAGCTCTACATTATAAATTGCACACATTTGGAATAGTTGGATTGCTGAATAAAAGTTATTTGGTGACCTCAATGAAACACTGGTTCATTTATTCTACAACGGGAAGCTAATAAGATATCAACATATCAACAACGTGTGCAACCAGGCAAACACGACCCTGGGGTTCTTAAGGCGTAATCAAAAGATTAGCAGCTTCAGTGTGAAAGAAAGAGCCTATGAAGCCTTTGTCCGGCCGCTTTAAGATTATACATCTTCAGTCTGGCATCCATATGTGTTGAGGACGTGAAGAATTTTTGTTAACGACTAAAATGGCTTTTATTGTCGTTTTGACAACCTGGACTTTGAAAGTGTACGCAATGAGATGATGAATTCATTTAGAGATGGCAGTAGTACAAAGGATGGTACTTTATTGTTCATCGAACGCAGCCAAGGCCTCGGGACCAGACACATTAAGTGGTCGGCTCATTAAACTATGCTCAGGGCAGCTCTCCTACAATCTTAAACGTTGCTGATGATACCACCATTGTGGGTTAATATCTGAAGGAGAAGGCCTGTACCGCAACTTAGTTACAAGCTTTATCGATTGGTGCGATGAAAATTTTCTCCAGCTGAATGTCTCAAAAACAAAAGAAATGGTTATTAATTTCAGGAGGGAGAAACACCTATTACAGATCTCAACATAAAAAATCAAAGTGTAGAGAAATTGGAGGCATACAAGTACTTAGGTGTCACCATTTATATTAAGCTAACATGGCATGAGCACGGCCAAATGCTGTATAAGAAATTCAACCAAAGACTGTTCTACCTCAAAAAACTGTATAATTTTGGCGTAAAAAAGCAAGTCCTTACTTTATTCTACAGTGCAACAATTGGAAGCTTACTTAATTTCAGTATTACCTGCTGGTGTGGGAATTCACCGTCTGATATTAAACACCGCATAAACCGACTAATCAAGAAAGGTAGTAACATAACACAACTAAACATCCCTCACTTGAAGAACTATTTGAAGAAAGATGTTTTTTGTAAAACTAAGCACATTTTGGATGATACATCCCACCCTCTTCATCACAGATACTTAGGATCGGGCCGTTCGGGACGAATTCTTTCCATCAGGGCGAGGACTGAAAGCTATAAAAATTATTTTATTCCCCAATCTGTACGAATTTACCGGCGCTCCCTCTGAAGTCACACATCTTAATGTGAACTAATAAGTCCCAGATTTGGCTATATAAGAGATCTCACTCAATGGCTATTTGAAATAATTTATTATAAATTTCTTTATCAGGTTTTCCCCCATTGAAAGAATCAAACAATGAATGTGTCGGCAAGATGCCTGCATCAGCGAAAAAACAAAATAGATTAAACAGAATTATATAAAATAACACCTAGCTGAAATGTAGTCTCCGAGAGGACAGAAAGAGAAACGGGATTTTTTTTTAACAGCGTGTGGCAGGGGGCGGCTGACGTTACGTGACTGAGTCTCGCGAGGAGAGGGAGGGTGGGGGAGATAACCATTCTGAGTTACTGTAGAAAAGCAAGGACATGATGCTGATGACCTTTTTTTTTTTTTTTTTTTTTTTTTTTTTTTTTTTTTTTTTTTTTTGGTGGGGGGGGGGGGGGGGGGGGGGGGGAGTGGTCTTTAAAGTCGATTTGTAAATCTACATCTCATTGCAGGTGCAGACAAGGACTGTGATAGTCGTATTAATTATTATTTTATTCGACCCCATTAGTACCCATTACACTTGTCGCTAAAAACATCTTTAATGTCATAGACCTTGTCGTAACTTTTCATCATGCCACGCTAATTAGATCTGTTTACCCGGAGCTACCATCATTTTTTATAAATTCTTGATGTAAATTGATACGTCTACCTTTAAAGCCAATCGATGTTAGGTGCATAATTGATTTGCTTTAAAGGCAGAAAACAATTCCTTATCTTAAGAGGATGCACATATATTTTAATTGTCTCTTTCAAACCTTTCGTACATTAAGCTACACTGCATAAAGTTAGGCAACACTAATAATCTTTGAATCGATCAAGGATGCAGCAGTTAGCTCCCATTTTATTTAAATGATAAAACATATGTTTAAAAGTACGACAACCCAACTTACATTTGTTCAACGAGACGAAATGAATTAAATTTCTTTCTAATTCAAAATCGATCATCACATTATATATCATCAAACGCTACTTTAAATTCACCGTTATTTTACCAAACGAAAATAAATTTCAAATTATTATTCTGTTACTCAATTAATTTTTTTACGATAACTATAAAGTAAATCTGAATTTAAAATATGCTAAAACTACTTAAAGGCTGATATTTCCATGATTTTCTTTCAGCAGTTACTTTTTTGAGTCATAAGTATGAAATTTAATGTATATTTAGCGATGTTTAGTTTGTTTATAAAATATTTAGAAATACATTTGATTATTTCACCAAAAAAGCCTTTTTTTCCCTTTGACATACATAAACGAGAGATTCTTTGAAATAACAATGAGTCAAACATAACGGAGTTAGTTTATTTATTTGTTGGTTTGTTGTTTTTTTTTTTGTTTGTTTGTTGTTGTTTTTTTGTTGTTTTTTTTGGTTGGGGGGGGGGGGGTTGTATGTGTATGATTTAAATTGAACCGTTAACTCCCTTTGACCTTGAACTGTAAAGCACACAATATGTTTTGGTCTATTTTTCAGTTACTTTCCTTTAAAAATAAAATTTTTTTTTTTTTTTTTTTTTTTTTTTTTTTTTTTTTTTTTTTGTTGTTTTTTTTTTGTTGTTTTTTTTGGTTGGGGGGGGGGGGTTGTATGTGTATGATTTAAATTGAACCGTTAACTCCCTTTGACCGTGAACTGTAAAGCACACAATATGTTTTGGTCTATTTTTCAGTTACTTTCCTTTAAAAATAAAATTTGAGTGTTAATTGTATAACGACAAATAGTAGTGATTTTTCATTTGTTACTCCCCTTTGAACGTAAACCGTAAAATTAGCAAATGAAGCGACAATTTATGCTTTCCCTACAGGAAGGGAGGGATAAAGGGGTGTTAATCTTAACCATTTAATTTATACGTTTATTTTGATACGTTAAATATAGCATAATTTATTTCTAATTATTCCAGCATCAATGTGATATAGAGGTTATATTTTAATATGTTAAGATTTTGAAGAAATATGTATTATTAGGACATATGATGGTGAATTTTTAAAGGCTTTGAATTAGTTCAGTTTAAATCTTATTAGCATATACATTTGTCTTATTTTATTGTCAAAAAAAATATATTTTGTACATTTGTAATTAATGGCTCGTAGTAAACAACATTATTTAGCCGCAGACGGAGCAAAGCTGTTCCCCATTGGTGTCCCACGTGATCTCGTGCTACAAAACAGCCCACTGGTCTACGCAGTACTTACGGCTATACAACACATAGGGCACAATACATAGGACACAACACATAGGACACAACACATAGGACACAACACAGCTATGCCAGATAAGTGTTCATCTGAGCTGTGACCGTGGAACACTAATAAAAATAACTCAATCCAAAACTCGATGTTTTTGCTTAATCTACCGCTCGCTACCTACCGCTGTCTCGACTTCAGATGTGTTTTCAATGGGCTCTGGCCACCAGCGCATCTACTTATTGCGTAGCTCATCGTCATGTCAACACATTCAGAAGTCACGAGACTCGTGTCATTAAACCTAACCCAACCTACAGTGACATCGTGCGGCCAAGATTTCAAATAATGGGGCACGACCTCGCCAGGTCATCACTGAACAAATAAATGAAGTATTATCTCCCTTGAGTCAACACCTTCTCTTAAGCACAGCACCGACGTCACCGTTACTGTAATTACTCCTGTCACTTTTAATTTGCTCATTACCTGGTGGATGTGTCAAGCTCGGTACAAACCTTAAAGCCGCATGAGTATTTATTTTTTTTTTAAAAAGCTATGCAAATGGCGTAGGTCAATAACAATTAGATAATTTAGAATAACAATTTATTCCAGATGATAATTGGCATGTCGTCTGGTGTATAAAGATCCACTAAAGTTGCATTAAAAATCCATATGAAGTCCGAGAAACACATGTCGGTGATATAAAAATTAGGATTTACGCTTTTAAACGGAGTAGTGCAGTCAAGAAAACTAATTTTTAATGTATATGGGGCAATAATTTAAAATTTGCATAATTTAAAACGAAAGAGCGGGACTGGGGTCATCGATCTACTGACATATAATAAAATAACATAGGCCTCCCGAAATCGCCTCGGACTTCAAGACTCAAGGAGAGCCGAAAAATCTACAGAGGCAAGTTGGTGACGTCGCCACGACTCATTTCAACTCTGAATCAAAATTTAAAAAAAATAATAATATTAATTAATACGACAGTCATCTTCTACATCGAGTAGAGGGAGATGTATAGAAGTATCAAAAAATACTGCAGTCAACTTCAGAAGTTTAAATAAATACTGCAGTCAACTTCAGAAGTTTAAATAAATACTGGAGTCCACTTCAGAAGTTTAAATAAATACTGCAGTCAACTTCAGAAGTTTAAATAAATACTGCAGTCAACTTCAGAAGTATAAATAAATACTGCTGTCAACTTCAGAAGTTTAAATAAATACTGCAGTCAACTTCAGAAGTATAAATAAATACTGCAGTCAACTTCAGAAGTTTAAATAAATACTGCAGTCAACTTCAGAAGTTTAAATAAATACTGGAGTCCACTTCAGAAGTTTAAATAAATACTGCAGTCAACTTCAGAAGTTTAAATAAATACTGCAGTCAACTTCAGAAGTATAAATAAATACTGCTGTCAACTTCAGAAGTATAAACAAATACTGCAGTCAACTTCAGAAGTATAAATAAATACTGCAGTCAACTTCAGAAGTATAAATAAGTGGTCAACAGTTAAACACCCGACTTGTCAGCACAGAAGAAACACAATTACTGACAACTCGGGTGAGAACTCAGCGGAACAAAGCAGACATAATAATGAGAATGATCGATAGAGAGAATCGGCTGCGTTGACACCTGGCGTGTGTTTGGTATGGAAGTGTGGGAATTAGACATGGCGTGTTGGATAAGTCTTACAATGTTTGTTGGTTGTTTTCTCAAGAGTATTTTAAAGTTTTTAAAGTGAGAGGTCGCAAGGCCGGAGTCAGGCGTCTGGGAGGAAGACAACCTTTTGGTCGGAGTATTGTAGTTGGAACACTTTTTGATAAGCGCGAACAATAAAAAAAAAAAAAAAATGACCATAGCAGACGTGATTGCAGGTTCTGGGTCAGTGTTGTAGATCCAGCTTAAATCAACATCATGGTCCTATCGGGTCATGAAGGAAGACTTTTACAGGAAGGACAATGGACAGAAGATAAAGCAAATGGAGTTTCCAAGGTCTTGGGTAGTCGTGGTAGATATTCATAGATAGAAGTAGATAGCAGTAGATAGTCTTAAGTAGTTGTAGACAGTCAAAGATCTGGTGAAAAGGTTAAAATGTCTTTAAAAGATAAACACTCAAGGCTATTGACTGCATTAGTTCTCAAAAAAAGGTTAAGACTAGATATCAAATCATGGATACCGATATGTAGAAATTCTTATGAATGCTCCTAAGAAGATTTTTGCATAGGATAAGGTCGTGACTTTTGGGAGTTTTTGTCTATATAGAAGGTCTTGTCGGATTGATGAACTTGTATCAAATATGTCTTCTCCTAAATGAAGGTATCACTCATGTTTATTTTAAATGGTCCATTGATTAACTTTAATATCAGGTCCAAAGGGTTACTATTTTTCGAATATCATTCTAAAGTTCTCTACAAAACTCTACAAGAAAGAATGATTGAATTGTATTGTTGAAAGTCTGACTGATTTATTACCAAGCTTTATGTGGAGTGAATCTGTCGAAATGAGTTTGTGGGAAGCAAGATATCAAAAGAAAAGGTTGTATTTAGCTCATCAGTCAAAATGTACCATACTTTATGCTACTTATAAGAAGTGTACATTCTATTCTTGAGACGCCAACATGAGAAGAGCGTATTCCATACTTGAGACACCAATACATCAGAACTGAGAGTTCTATACTTGAGACACCAATACATCAGAACTGAGTGTTCTATACTTGAGACACCAACATAAGAACTGAGTATTCTATACTTGAGACACCAACATAAAAATTGCTTAGAAGTTTATACGCATCTGGTGTGGAGCATCCATAAACCTCACTAAGGAGCATAACTTTGGTACATGACATGGAACATAGCAATGGAACACCGCAAAAGCAATGGAACACCGCCAAGGAACTTCGTTAAATTTATGTAACATTCTTCAGGAAGATCATTGAGGAGTTCTGCTAAAGAACTTCGCAATGTAACTTCAGCATAACACTTTTACTAAGGAGAATCGTCAAGAAACATCGCTAAAGAACATTACTATAGAACATCGCTATAGAACATGACTATAGAACATCACTATAGAACATCACTATAGAACATCCCTATAAAACATCACTTTGGAATATCACAAACGAAAACCACTCATTTGACGCGAATCTTCACATAGGTGTTTGCGATTTCTTACACCTGTTCCAAAGCCCGTGCTGAAGTTGCCATAATGTTAGTCATCAACACTAACACATCTGGTATTCACGACACGCTAACAGTTAAAGTCAAGACAGCGGATTCCGAGTTGCACGTCGACCACTTCACACTGGAAATGTTGACAATCGTCGTCTTCCTTGCATTGTGCGCAGTCGTCTCCCTTTTCGGGGTCCTCTCCAACTTCCTCAGCATCGTCGTCCTGACCAGGGCCGGCTTCCAGGACACGGTCAGCATCACCTTGCTGGGGCTGTCGGTGTCCGACCTGGGTAGTCTGCTGTCCGTCCTGTGGAGGAACTTCACGATGAGGGAGCTCGTCTCCACCACCGACCTGCCCCACTACGCCCTGGAGTACCTGTACCTGTCAGGCGGGACCAGTCTGGTCTGGTTCACGCGGACCACCACTTGGATATCTGCGTACATGACCTTCAAACGGTTTCTCTGCATCATCGTGCCGCTAAAGGTAAGGTGTAGACATGGACAGGTAAGTTCTACATACAATCTCGCAAGGAGTACACAATGACTTTAGTTGCATATAAGGAGGGTAATTTATAAAACCAGTTCACAATGAGTTGTACACAAGGTCTGGTCACTCTCCATTTAGATTTCGTTTCGAGATGTCAGACTTTTGATCTACTGAAACATTTTTAGAACCTGGATTTAAATAAAAACACCTTTGAAAACATACATGTTAGAAATGTTGATTTGTTTCGTGGAGTATCTTCATCTAAAAGTAACAACTCCTTGATGTAATACCACGGTGGTTGACAAGGTAATGCACCCAATCTTGTTTATCGTAATCCAAAATATGAAACAAGGCGATATCATTGAGATCATCGTATAATTTGACGATTAACTCTAATAATTGTTCAGATCTTTAAACCTAACGTGTTTATCTATGTAAGTCAGTACAGACTGTTAATGACATGGCCGACCAATTCTTCTTTTTTTTTTAAACTCACTAATAAGCGTCAGATAATTTCATTAATTGAACATATTTTGTGTATCTTTTTATCAGGTGAAAACCATCATCACCAGGAAGCGAGCCATCGTCATCATCGTCTGCATCTACGTCATCACGTTGGCCACGGTCCTCCCGGCCTACTACGCCACGCAGATGACACTCGAGTTCTCACCGGAAGCCAACAAGTCCATCCTCGTGCTCTTCTTCACCCGGGACCGAGATCTCGTGAACCTGATGGCGTCACCCGTCTACAACGTCGTCCTCCAGGTGGCGTCCTTCATCGCCGTGGTCGCCTTCACGGCGGCGCTCGTCGTGGAGCTTGAGAATAAAAAAAACGTGGAGGAAGACCGCGGTGACGTCACGTCCGGCGTCCCTGACCGACAAGGACCGCAAGGTGGCGCAGATGGTCGTCCTGATAGCGGTGAACTTCATCCTCGGTTACGTCCCCATCACGGTGTGCTACGTGTGGGCCAGCGTCCAGCCCGTGCTCAGCGATGCGTTCACCTTGGTTACAACGCTGGCCGTGTTCTCCATAGCGGTCAACTCGTCGGTCAACATACTGGTGTATCTGAAGATGAGCACCAGGTTCCGTAAGACGTTTCACGAGTTGTTTCGTTCTGACACTCCCGCGCGCAATAAATCTTCAGGCGCGTTTTAACATTTCATTGTTCATTTAAGTAAGAGACAATGGAAGTGTAAACCAACTTTAACATAGCAAGTTTTTATTATTTCATTTGTTCTTCTGTCCATCGGCTGATGTTAGTTATTTCTTCTCTTCTGACCACGATCAGCCAAAAAGATGATCTTTCCTCGAGCACACACATTGTCCACAGTTAAGAGGATCTGTTCCCATGAACACACATTGTCCACAACCTTAAGATGATCTGTTCCCATGAACACACATTGTCCACAACCTTAAGATGATATGTTCCCATGAACACACATTGTCCACAGTTAAGAGGATCTGTTCCCATGAACACACATTGTCCACAGTTAAGAGGATCTGTTCCCATGAACACACATTGTCCACAACCTTAAGAGGATCTGTTCCCATGAACACACATTGTCCACAGTTAAGAGGATCTGTTCCCATGAACACACATTGTCCACAACCTTAAGATGATCTGTTCCCATGAACACACATTGTCCACAGTTAAGAGGATCTGTTCCCATGAACACACATTGTCCACAGTTAAGAGGATCTGTTCCCATGAACACACATTGTCCACAGTTAAGAGAATCTGTTCCCATGAACACACATTGTCCACTGATATTTTGGAAAGACCTCAAGTTTTACACAACGAAAACTGTAACTGACGCAAACCTTTAAGGCCTAAGTAAAACGTGTGCTAATTGAAGGGATGGGGATGTTTTGGCCATGGTTAAGAAATAATACAGTCGTGGGGCGACTAAATGTATCTACAAAGGACAGCGCTATTTTCAAGGCTTACTAATTTGTAATTTCACTGTGTGTCTATACATGTTTTGGGGGGAGACTTACCACCAGGCATAACAACCATTGATTGAACTGAATCAAAATACATTAGAACCACGTATTCAATTTTACCATTCAAATTGAGAACCACTGTTTAAAGTTTAGCTGTAGGCATGAAACATGTTTGACTCGAAAAACTAAGACATGAGAACCATTGTTTGAAGTATTACCACAAAATATGAAAACCACTGTTAGTTTTGAAATCACGAGACATGAGAACTACTTTCAGCACTGAAACACGAGACGTGAGAATCACTGTTTGATTTGTAAAAGCCAGGCATAAGAAACACTGCTTGAATTGAAGTTACAAAACAGGAATGCCACTGTTTGAATTGAAGTTACAAAACAGGAATGCCACCGTTTGAATTGAAGTTACAAAACAGGAATGCCACCGTTTGAATTGAAGTTACAAAACAGGAATGCCACCGTTTGAATTGAAATTACAAAACAGGAATGCCACTGTTTGAATTGAAGTTACAAAACAGGCATGCCACTGTTTGAATTGAAGTTACAAAACAGGCATGCCACTGTTTGAATTGAAGTTACAAAACAGGCATGCCACTGTTTGAATTGAAGTTACAAAACAGAAATGCCACTGTTTGAATTAAGTTACAAAACAGGAATGCCACTGTTTCAATTGAAGTTACAAAACACAGTTTGAGTTTTTTTACAAGTTTAAAACAAAACACCTCCTGGTTCTATCTAAGCTCAAACATACGAACCTCCGTCTATTTGAATAGAAGCACACAATAAGAGAAGCACTGTCTGTTTTGACACAAAAGACGTGAGAACCACTGTTTGAGTCCCGCAAAACAAGAGCCACTGTTTGAATGTTAGATGAAACAGAGGAACCAATTTTTGTACCTAAGCACTTAACAAGGGAAACACTGTTTGAACTTAAGACAAGAAATGAGAAACATTGTTTGTATCTAAGCACAAAATAAGAGAACCACTGTTTGAATCTAAGATAAGAAAGAGGAACCATTGTTGTATCTAAGCAGAAAATAAGAGAACCACTGTTTTCAATCTAAGACAAGAAATGAGAACAATTGTTTGTACCTAAGCACAAAACAATAGAACCGTTGTTTGAATCTAAGACAAGAAATGATAACCATTGCTTGTACCTAAGCAAAAAAACAAGAGAACCACTGTTTGAATCTAAGACAAGAAATGAAAACCACTGTTTGTTCCTAAGCACAAAAGAAGAGAACCACTGTTTTGAGCTGTAACCAAGGTTACGTGAGTCCGGCGGACGACTAAGAGATCAAGGACGATAATTAAAGACGATTTGCTGAAATGAACACTTGAAGGGATGAGAGACCGGCTTAGAAAAGGTCGGCGATGGAGGCAAAATAGCGTCAGAACATGTGAAATTGTAAAACAAGACATTCACACAAAACTATACGAGGAGTTCCCCCCATCCCTCTTCATTCGCTGCCCCCCGCCCCCCAAAAATCCCTCGATATACTTTCTTCAGAAGTCGTAACTGACTTTAATAAGTATCCACCTAACCGGTGATTCTCAAATTCAAATTAGATTGCATGCCCCCCACCCCCAAGAGTCAACAAATGTTCAGTGTCTCCGTGTTAGTCAAAACACGNAACCTGTCCTCTACTGTTTC